GAGAGAGAGAGGGAGAGAGAGAGAGAGAGAGAGAGAGAGAGAGAGAGAGAGAGACTGAATGGCAAAATTGAAATATGGGTCAAATTGCGGCTGATCTATTTCACAGTTGAAATGATTTTTTAAAATTTATTGAGCGTTTTTCCTGGAAAGATCAAAACAAAATCTACGAGTACTCCAATTTTCAGGTTTTTTCACACATTCTTCTGACCGCGAAAACTCACTAAATTTAGAGTATTTTTCAGTTGACCCACACATGGCTGAGTGGCAAAAATGAAAAACGTGTTGAATCTGCGCGACGATTATTTATCGGTCTAAATGATTTTTTTTTAAATGTTATAATATTTTTCCTAGAAAGAACACGACCTCATCTATAGATTTTCAAATTTTCAGATTTTTCTCCGGGTTCCTCCAAGCACAAAAAATCGCCTCCCTGTTTTGAGAAGACGGGCCTCAACGCCTAGGCCTGGGGGCCCTTTTGCAGTTCACATGCCCTCACTTTGTTTTGGGGTCCGCTTCCACCCGTGGATCCGTCCAACGCCCCCCACTTCTTTTGGGGGTCCACTTCCACCCAAGGACCGGTCCTTCCTTTTTCCAAAAGTCTCGGTTCTATCAGAGTTAGTTGTAGGTTGTCCGCAATTTTGTCAAGGACTAGTTCACCAATTTTTTTTGCCCCCTAAGAACTTATTTTGCGTCGTGGTCACCCGCCGCCAAAAATGCGACACCTTGACACAGACGTCGAACCCCAGTAGACGGCAGTCTTAGGGCTGCGAATAGAACACGTACACATCATATTCGAATACAACGTGTGCGTGTTTTATTTGAGGTGCTCTGTTATTCGAGAAAAGTGGACCCGCGTCGTTTGAATTTCGAAAAGGCTTTAAGGACCACGACCTCCTCGGCCTCCTACGGCAAGCTACCGGTCCTACTCGGTCATGGCCCTTGCAAGGCCCCAAACCTGAAAATGCCCACCCTCCGACATTGAAATGTCTTTGGGGGGGAAAATGCAACCCTGACGGGCTGCAAACTTTTTCACCTTGTTGTTGTTTTGTCACCGTTTTGACAAAAAAACAGCGCGCGGTCCCACGGGCAGCTACCGGTCCTGCATTTTTCAGAGAAACTAGCATTACCCCCCAAAGATTCACCCTTCCGATGCTTTGCCACCGTTTCGACAAAAACCCAACGCGCGGTCCCACGGACAGCTACTGGTCCCTCATTTTTCAAAGAAATTGTCACCCCCCCCCAAAGTATCGTGTCTGCACCTGCCTGCGTTTTTCGAACCTTCCAATGATCAAACGAGCCCGAATCAACGACCGGTATAACGAAGGACGACGAAAATATCTCGGAGGGGAAATGTCTTTGGAAGGGGAAACGCACCCCTATCGGGCTACAAACTTTTTCAGTTGGTTCACACATGCCTGAGTAGCAAAAATGAAAAATGTGTCGAATCGGCGCAACGATTATTTTACAGTCTATTTTTTTTTTTTAAATGTTACAATATTTTTTCTGAAAATAACACAACCTCGTCTTTAGATTCTCAAATTTTTGGATTTTTTTGCGAGTTCCTCTGAGCACAGAAAATCGTCAAAGTTGTCGTTTGCAAAACACCGGTTTCGTTGCTCATAACCTCCCTTTTTTTAGAAGATGTACCTCAACGCCTGGGCCTGAGGACCCTTTTGCAGTTCACATGCCCTCACTGCTTTTTGGGATCCGCTTCCCCGAGGACCGGTCCAACGCCCCCCACTTCTTTTTGGGGTCCGCTTCCACCCGAGGACCGGTCCTTCCTTTTTTCAAAAATCTTGTTTCTACCAGAGCTAGTTGTAGGTACTAGTCCACAATTTTGCCAAGGACCGGTTTCGGCCCGAATACCCTTACAAGGGTATTTGTGCGCATTCTTGCATCTCGCAGAAGATGCATTTTTTATGAGATGTGAGAAAGTGTCTCATTTTTGTATAGTCGTAACCAACTTTTAGGCGTTGGGAATAGCAGGTGTGTTTGATATAATTAGAGAGTGCATGGGCTTATACTTCAACTCGGAGGGTACGCAAGCGTTTTTAGGCGGGCATCTAGTTATGTTTATAAGAGTGGCGTCCGCGCCTAATAGAGTGAAATTGAAAAGGGTTGTGAGATGACTGCAGTACTGCATGCAAAACGGTTTCGCGTTCGAAACCGACATTTGATGATCGGGGTTAGTATTTAGTCATCAGATCTGTTTGACTCACTTGCTATGATATTAGGATCAGTGAGGTGCAAAGTGCCTGACTTCCGAGGCCGGCCATGATATTGGTCGACTTTAGAAGTCGTAGGCGACACTATAAAAGTCGGGCTTTTCTGACGCTTAGGCGGTAAAAGTGCGTTTTTTCGGGGGAGGTACAACTGACCTCTTCATGCAGCAAAGGCCGGTACATAGGAGCCCTAGAAATGACTGGTATGCCTAAGTACGGCCTTTAGTGCAGTCTGACAGGGCCTGGGCTTAAACCGGAGGTCTTTATAACAAAGTTTGGGCCTCCTACACCCAGACTTGGGTCTAGCCCTATAGGTTACGACTTTGGACATTACGAAGATACTGGGATCAAGATCTGCTGGTGGCGGCGAAGCTGCAAAGCGCGACAGGAGGAAGCCGAGGGTTTGAAGGTCCTACTAACTATCCCCCTTGGCTTTTGCTATCAGAGTCTGATCGCACACCCGGCTGGCGGAGTACCAGTGGGGCCCTCTTTCTTTTTCATCACTTTTTTTTTTTACTTTTATTTATTATTAGCCAAGTCCCGGCGGTGCGGGTCATGCTCGCAAAAATAAGAAATGTTGTAGGCAACCTGACACGGACCACTCACATAAACTGAAACAAACTTAAAAAAAAAAAAAAAAAACGAATCACAGGGTAATATGGAATAGCCTAAGATTGACTACGAAGTCAAATTTTAATTGCTGAATAGCTTAGTGTCCACAGTGTGGGCGGTGTGGGCTACACCAGCAACCAAAATAATCGAAACGGTAAAAAAGTACCATAGAGTAGAGGAGACTGTCGTAGAGTGTCGTAGAGTGTTGTAGAGTAGATTGTAGTAGAGTGTCGTTGAGTATCGTAGAGTAGAGTAGAGTAGAGTAGAGTGGGTAGAGTAGAGTAGAGTAGAGTAGAGTAAAGTAGAGTAAAGTAGTGTGGAGTAGAGTAGAGTAGAGTAGAGTAAAGTAAAGTATAGTCTCGTAAAGTAGAGTACAATGTCGTAAAGTAAAGTTTTGTAGAGTGTCGTAGAGTACAAAAGTGTGTCGAAGAGTGTAGTAGAGTAGAGTTGAGTAAAGCAGAGTGTCGTAG